CTTTCAGGCAAACAGACTTTTATGCGGTTGAACGGATACTGGATTACCGTTCCCGAAAAGTAGGCAGAAACCGCCGCCGTAAGCGCACTGTGCACGAGTATCTTGTCAGTGGGTTGGGTACTCGGCTGAGCACAACAGTTGGGAACCAGAAGCTAACTTTACCCCTGACCTAAAACCTCTGCTGGAAGAAGCACGGCAACGAGCACGGGCAAGGTAAGATTTGCGGGTTAAAGGTAAGTGTTTTAACTCCCGCGCGTTTTTGGCCCGATTTTTGCTCTGCCAGTTTCTTGCCATGCATCGAGGACGCTGCATCTAGAGGGGGGATAGTTGTTGTATTCCGCTTCTTAAATCTGGGTCCAAACTGATACATTTTCTGTCTAATTTTTCCTTTCTCGCTTGGCGCGGTTACTGGACAAGTTCGCTGGAACTAACTGAATTCCAACTGCCTATTTTGCCGCTTTTCTGTCAGATCTTTATGGCTCCGACCTCTGGGTCAGACGGCGAGCGGGAAGCTGTCATGGATGCCAACAAGTAAACGCCGCCTCAGGCGGAAGTCCATACTTGCAGAAGTATGGGCGGGGGTCGTAGCACAGGCTACGACTGGGACGCTGGTCCCTGGCTCGCGGAGCCCCGTCATCGATTGGAAGCATGGATCAACGGTACGCCATTCCGGACTGGACCGCGCCATTTCGGAATTGGCTGTACGATTCATGGGATGGCCGCATCCTCCGCTATTTAAGCGGGTGAAACTCTTCCAAATCGGTGTCTTCCGACGCCACCATCCAGTTGTGGTTTAGTAAGATACAACAGTTTGATGTTGGACTGTTTAACATAACTCTAAACCGTAAAACCCTGTTTCTAATCTTCCCTCTGCTGCAGACGTCGCCATGCACGTGTGCAGCGCGTTCAACCTGCGGGTGCGCGAGATGGACTGGCCCCTGTGCCGCCTGGCCCTGTTCCTGGACCCGCGGTACCGCGGGCTGATCGACCCGAAGGCCTCCGTGAAGCCACTGTTCAAGCAGGCCATCGAAATCTCTAAGCGCCACGGCCACGGCCAGCAGAGCAACGACCGCCTGGTGTCCCAGCTGGTTGTGTACAACGCACGTCAGGAGCCGTTCGACCTGCCCCCCAACGGCAGCTCCTTCGATGACCTCCGCCTGTGGTGGCTTTCGATGCTGCCCCTGCCCTCCGCGGACATGATCGCCCAGGTTGCCCTGACCATCCTGGACATTGTCCCGCATGCGGCCAGCATGGAGCGCACATTCAGCATCATGGGCTGGTTCCAGGACAAGCGGTCCAACAGGTTCAAGGACGAGACCGTCAAGAAGATGACCACGATCAAGACGTGGTATGACAGCCAGGCCAGCGACAAGTCCGCCAACAACGCGAAGGCGTCGGCCTTGGAGGTCCCCACCATCTCCAACCTCGACATCAAGGAGCCGGTCACCCCTGGCCAGCCCGCTGCCAACCCCCAGACCGTGAACGTGGGTCCGGGCTCATCCGCCACTCAACCGGGTCAGGGCCTGGAGCCGCAGGCCGCAGCTAACAGGCGAGTTACCAGGACGGCAGTCAAGGCGGCAGGCCAGCCAGCACCTCCGGCGACTGGCGGCTCGGAGATCAACGCTGACTTCTGGGACGGCGAGGATGAGTCTGCCACCGCAGAGGACGTGATTGCGCACCTCGGTGCCATTGGCCAGGCGGTTCAGGCGGACATGGCGGCGGAGGTGCAGCTGCTCCGCAACCAGGGCAGCATGTTCTCGGCCCTGATGATGGAGGCCATCTATGGCATCGATGAGTCCCTCGACCCGCTCGCGCCAACACAGCTGCCAGCGCCCCCCTCGCGCGGCTTGCATGTGTGTATGCCAGTATTAGATGTTTGAGGGTTATCTTTGGTTAGGTACCAGCGGTGACTGGCGGTGGCTGGCAACGGAATCTGGGTTCATACCCAATGTAAATAGCTGTACATTTTGTATTATAAGCCCTGGAGCTTGCTTGCATGTGTGTATGCCAGTATTAGATGTTTGAGGGTTATCTTTGGTTAGGTACCAGCGGTGACTGGCGGTGGCTGGCAACGGAATCTGGGTTCATACCCAATGTAAATAGCTGTACATTTTGTATTATAAGCCCTGGAGCTTGCTTGCATGTGTGTATGCCAGTATTAGATGTTTGAGGGTTATCTTTGGTTAGGTACCAGCGGTGGCTGGCGGTGGCTGGCAACGGAATCTGGGTTCATACCCAATGTAAATAGCTGTACATTTTGTATTATAAGCCCTGGAGCTTGCTTGCATGTGTGTATGCCAGTATTAGATGTTTGAGGGTTATTTTTGGTTAGGTACCAGCGGTGGCTGGCGGTGGCTGGCAACGGAATCTGGGTTCATACCCAATGTAAATAGCTGTACATTTTGTATTATAAGCCCTGGAGCTTGCTTGCATGTGTGTATGCCAGTATTAGATGTTTGAGGGTTATCTTTGGTTAGGTACCAGTTCTGTGCGGTGGCATGCCGGATCTGGTACAAGGTTAGTGTCGACTAGGACATTGTGCGGTATCAGGTGGTTTGAGCACGGAGCGACAGGCAGATTTAGAGAATGGGGCCCAGCATGTGGCACCCAAGATGGCTGTGAGCAGTGGTATGGAGGGCAGATCTTCAACCTGGTTCAGCGGCCCCCAACCACCAGCAGCTTCATGTAAAAGTTTCCCTTTGCGCATCCCAACATCAGACGCCAGTTACATAAGAAAAATGTCAGTGAATTCAAGCTTTAATCGCAGATTAGTAACATTATGGTGCCCCGGAGTGCCTTCGGACACACATGAGCAGGTCCCATGAGGCGCAAAGGCACATAGGGCCCACGAACAACGTTTGCATACCATGGACGTCATAAAATACAGCATTTTCAGGGTTTCGGCAGGTTTCGGCAGGTTCCGGCAGGTTTCGCAGAAGGGTCCAAAAAACGGAAACTATTTCGGCAGTGGCAGTAAGGTTTCGGCCCGTACACTGCAACGACCTAATAACCAACCGGTCGGGCCAATACAGTGTTTGGGTGGTTGCTACTGTGTCTTTATGTGGCTGAAACCCCGACGTAAAAGGCATTACGACGCAGCTGGATGCACCAAACAGGAACGGCTGCCGTAGCATTGACCGCATTGCGCTCGCGCCTAGCAACCTCCTCGTGCTCCATTCGCTCACGCTGGGCCTCGACAACAGCATCATCAAGCCTAACTGGTGCAAATCCAGCTCGGTCGCTCACCGGAGCGTTTGGTGCTAGCGGTTTCATCCCGCATTGAAGCAGGCAGGGATGCGACCGTATTCGTTTTGGCCATCTGGCGTATTAATGGTACCTCAAATTAATACGCCAGGCGTATGGCGTATCAATACGCCGGGGTTCACGCCATGCCGTATTACAATACTCGTGGCGTATTCCTTTTGCGCTATTCCGTCAGGGAATTCATGTTTTTCGCTTTTACAATGAAAGGCGTATTGCTTTAGTGTTTGGAAAACGATCTCTCACAAGATAAAATATGAATTTGGGCAACAGCCAGACCTGGACAGCCATCGAGCCATGTGCGCACACATTCGCGTCTGCATTCTAGCATTCCTAACAAACCGTGATTATCACAAATACTACAGCCCAAATAGAGATAGCTTGGGTGTCAGGCCAACACCACAGACGACAGACCACACCCCCCTAAAGCCTCCTCACTCCCCCACGGTGAACGACATCGCCTTCTGGCCAGGGTTGAGCTCCAGCGGCTGCTTGGTCCAGTCGAACCAGGGGAAAGTGGTCCGCAGCAATGCCTCAACCGTGCTCATTGATGCCCGGTTCTCTGCCTCGATGACCGGCATGCCCATCATGCTTGCCTCCCCCATCAATGGCGCCCGCTGCTGCTCCTCCTCCATGTAGATGGTGTTCAGGTACTCCTCCAGATCCAGCGGGTTCCAGTCAGGATCCGCATCCTCCTCTGTGACTGGAGGTGGGCTGGGACCGTTAACAGGAATGTAAGCGGCCGCCTGGGTGAATCCGCCATGGACAGCTCCATCCCCAAAGCCAGTAACTTCGGACGTCAGGGGATAGCAACTTGTCCCACTATCAGCCTGGGAGATTCCGCTGGTGTCGAAGACTGCAGCCCCGGGCACCTGGGGGATTCTGCCGGTGCCAAAGCCAGCAGCCACGGGCGCCTGGGGGAAGCCGCTGGTGCTGAAGCCTGCAGCCCCGGGCACCTGGGGGATTCCACCGGTGCCAAAGCCAGCAGCCACGGGCGCCTGGGGCAAGCCGCTGGTGCTGAAGCCTGCAGCCCCGGGCACCTAGGGGGTTCCGCCGGTGCCAAAGCCAGCAGCCACGGGCGCCTGGGGGAAGCCGCTGGTGCTGAAGCCTGCAGCCCCGGGCACCTGAACTTGCACTTGCGAGCATAGCGCTTGGAGCTAGAGCTATAGTCACCGACTTCTTCGAAATAATCCAACACAGCACTAGGCTTAGGTCCCGGTTTAGCGCGTTTTGCTTCGCGCACGTTTTCCATTTCGCGGGTTGTTATTACAACAAGGTATGTTGCAAACCCAGTGATAAGCAAACCCTAAAACCTAATCCTAAGTATCAACTAATTACACCAATGACTCGGGAATGTCAATAGCACGATATTTCTCAAAATCGGCGAGTTTTCAGACTGTACGACAACCCAACGACAAACAATACGCCGACAATACGCCAACAATACGCCAACGCATAAACAGCCCCAACTGGCTGGCGTATTCGGCGTATTAATACGGGCGTATTAGCTGGCGTATTAATATGGAATACGGTCGCATCCCTGGAAGCAGGGTTGCCTGTCTTGCACGTTTTCCAGCGTTGTTCATGTCCTACGTTTATGACTATATTTTATGTCTTTAAGAGCTGATTTCCGCCTTGAAATCCTAGTTTTTGCGAAGTTTGATCGACCGGCTTCGGAGGGTACGATATTTCGGGGCTGCGGTCCCTTGGGATACCTTAGAATTTGTACGTGCTACATATTCGTAGTGCCTCCCGAATTATTGTAGCACGAACTATAAGTAGCACTACGGTAGACAGGACGCACGCCCTTTCCCGCTAGCACACCGAGGCGCTGGTGGCGAGTTCCAAACCTAGGTTTTGCAGATAGCCTTTGCAAACTTGCGCGTGAAGCTACCTCAGGTGTTAAGAATGCTGCATAAAGATTGCTACTACATGCGAGCCGCGCTGCCTCTACCTGCACCCGCCACATATCGGGAATCCAGGATGCACGTGGTCTTCCTGATATACCGACCTGCATTAGCTTTTGGCCGTTAATATGTACCTATGAGCATTGTTGTGTTTGCGAAGATTCTGGTGGCTTTGGTAGCTACATGCCTTTCCGACTTTTAGCATGCTGAACTGCCAAGTCCACGGCTTCTACCGCAGTGGTTCTGGACGAGTCTGTCACGCGCATCGTTGGTACACTGCATACCATGCGTGGTCATGGTCTTCCGAACCGTTAGTTCTGTGCTCCTGTCTCCCTTAACCATATTCTCATGGCTATGTCGACTCGAACATGCTGGCTGACAGTGCGAGGAATGATAGAGGCGGAAAACCGGGAGACAGGCTGCCAAGGGCCCTTACACTGCAGTAGAACACAACTCAAGCCAACCGAATGGCCGCGCGAAAGCGGCCCCTACGGCCACCGCACCGGTACCGCGCGGCCAACAACACACACACCCCCAGGGAAAAAACGCGCGCGCGCGACAGACAACACGAGACGCTAGGCCAAAGGACGCCCAACGACCACCACTACCAAACACAAAAACGGCGACCCTAACGTGCTAAAGCCCGACCCGGAGACCGACTGAACCGAAGCGAAGAGCGCCCTCTCCACGGACTCCCGAGACCACTCATCAAGGCTAAAACGACCCAACTGCAGCCAGAACGGCTCAAGTCTCTGCTGTCGGCCCGCCTGCTGACAAGCCACTCCTCAGCGGGCATCGTCTACCTGTCCGCCGCTAGCCGAGCCCGGTGCGGAGGTGCCTGAAACTGGTCAGTGAAGAAGGAAAAAAGAGGGGAGGGGTGAACGAAGAGATATCGACCCCGAAGCGAAGGGGGAAGGTGGGCGGGAAGCTGTCAGCTACAAGCTGAAGCTCTACTGAGTGAAAGGCAGAATGCCTGAAACGAAAGAGCTGAAGCAATTAGTACTCGCCATTCCAATACGGTTGTACGACAGTCGCACAGAACCAGACTTAGAGACTCCGATCGCTTCGCTCCGTCGTATCTAAGTCAACAATTCTGTGCTCCTGTCTCCCTTAACCGTATTCTCATGGCTATGTCGACTCGAACATGCTGGCTGACAGTGCGAGGAATGATAGAGGCGGAAAACCGGGAGACAGGCTGCCAAGGGCCCTTACACTGCAGACCGAAGAGATACCCACTCACCGGCGAGGCCTAGGCGGCGGGAGACTTCGAGTTTGGCTGCAGTGTCGCGCCGCGTGTAGTGCTGTACCATGGCGTCCGTGCGCCAACGGCCGTGAGCCTTGCGCAGTTCCGCCGGCACTCCACGGTCCGCTGCCGTGCTGTTCCCGCCTATACGCATGGAGTGTGCCGTAATGTTTCTCTTGATGCCAGCCAAGGGTACCATTTTTAGCAGTCGTGTGCGGAAAGCCGCGTAGGACAGCGAATGCACTGGAGCTTCTCGTGTACCGGTCAGAGGACCCGAGAGGTACCCGCCACGTTGTGTCCATTGAACCGGTCGGAGGAGCGGTCCTACATCTTCATCTACTGATACTGGCTGTCTGCGGTAGCCACCTAGCTCCAGCAAACGCTCGGTAAGACCGACTGGACAGCATGGGCCACCAGAGCGTGTGATGACTACCCAGTGGCCCCGCATGAGCTGATCTGTCTTCGAGCGGGGAATGAAGATCTCCA